AAGACCTTCCCATCTCTGCAACTTAGAAATTCCATGAATCTACTGCTTTTAAGGGAAGAAACAAACACATGGAAAAGTCCAAGGAGCTTGAGACCTGAATGGATCATTTTTGAAGGAGTTTTGCAAATGTTTTCGTTCAGTACCATGTATTGAACACTTATATGCCCGGGTTGTAAATATATAATCCTGAAAATACAGATACAGTCTCTTCTTCAGAGAGCTTTCACTTTGGTGGTTGCAAGACAGACAGTTAGAGAGACAGCCGGATAGACTGTCCAGAGGGTGCTTTGGAGAGAAATCCAGCAGAGAAAGAGGGAAGACCATGTCAAGACCAGGTTGAGGTATATATAAAATATGCTATCTATACTAATAAAAGGGTAATATGCTAATTACACAGGATAGACCTGACATCTTCCTGACTTTCTTCTGGACAAAGCCACTGTGGTGGGGACCGAGGCACAGGCAGTTAGGGGAGATCAGACTGGCAGGGTAGAGCAGTTAGGGGTGATCAGGCAGGCAGGCAGAGTGGTTAGGGATGATCAGGTAGTCAGGCAGGTGATTAGGGATGATCAGGTAATCAGGCAGGTGGTTAGGGTTGGTCAGGTAGTCAGCCAGTGGTCCCAGATTGTGAGAGAGATGCAGGTCGGGCTGAGGGACATCTCCTCCCCCATACCCCACATGAATTTCATGCACTGGGTCTCTAGTTTTATATAAAGCAACTAGGGAAGGCCTTCAGACATGGGGAGCCATAAGCACAGAAGTCCCGAGTCATACTTGGCGTGTTCTGGGAAGAGCGAGGAAGCAGTATGAGTGAGGATGAGTGTTAGGGGCAGGATGCCAGTTCAGAGGTGGGGCTTGGGTCATTCAGGGCTCTGGCTTTAGCATGAGTGGGATGGGCAATGGTTGGAGACCTGTGAGCAGAGGGCTACGTGACCTGAGCAACTGAAAGAGGCCCCAGATTCTGAGTGGTCCACAGAGACAAGGGAATCCCTGGGATACCAGATGACGTGTTGAGATGCCTGAAGCTCTAAAGCTCTCAGGCATATTTGTTCCAGCAAATACTTAAACCAAAATCGTTGGCCCCTGTGAGAAACCTGCGCCATCCCTGCTGGAAGCATCATCTGCTCATCCGTGGTGGGGTCAGCGCGTACTGGGGATGCCCGGTCTGCAGACAAAGAACTTGAGGTCTCGCCAAGTTGAGTAACAGCCAAGGCTACGGGCTAGTCCGTGGCAGAACTGAGTTCCAGCCGACGGCTATCTACTCTAGACAAGGCAACCAACATCCGAACGCTGTCTGGTCTTCAGACGAGGAAAAGCATTTTGAAAAACAAAGAGACGTGAGCAGGATCACAAATCTGTGAGTGGAAGAGCTGGGACCCAAAGGGGACTCCAGGGGGCTGTCCATGTGTCCTAGCTTGGCTCTCTGCAGAGCAGCTGCCGGGGAGAGGGCAGCGGGATGTCAACCAGGGACTGATCCTGAGGCCAACCCCAATCAATGGGTGTCAGGGAGACAAGCAGGCCTGAGCTGAGGAGACAACTGAGTGGTGACAAAGGACGCCTACGAGGAGACAGAGACAGAGAGACAGAGGAAGAGGAGGAGGTGACAGAAGAGAAATTAAAAGGAGTCAGGGAGAAAAGCAGACATCCTGCAAAGAAATAAGTCCATGACTGACTAGCAGACAGCAAAAATGGAAGCCAGGGCCGTCTATCACAGGGGACCATGCTTACCTATGTCAGGGAGAGAGGCGCACCTGGGAGAATTCTAAAGTTCTGGCTGGTGATGGGCCATTTCTTTCACCCACACAGGGAGCATGGTGGTCCCTGGGATTCTTTAAACAGCTCAGACTCTCTCAGTAAACAAAAGTATGAAGAGCTGAGGAAGTGGAAACACATAGAATAACTTGGGGAACTGGATCGTGGAGAGGAGAGAGGGGCGGGGGCTGCAGGAGGACGTGGCCATGCCAGGGACTCGTATTGGAATGCTGTGCCTGCTTTCCTGGTGCTGGTTTCACACAGAGGGTGGGGGTAGTTACCAGGAATGGCGGACATGGACGGACGCTGTGCGGGAGAGGGGTCTACAATGCTGCACACGCATTCGACGAAGCACCATTATTCCATTGGTTCTCCTCACCAGTGAGGAGGTGCGTCTTCTCTCCCGAGGCCTGCATTCATTTCACCAGAACAGGCCACCACAGACCTCGTGGCTTAAACCACACACACCCACCCACACACACACACACACACACACACACACACACACACGGTTTCCCGGGATCCCTCTTCCTGAACTTCGGGGACACAGGTCCTATTAGAGCAGAGCGCCACCCCACAGGCCTCATTTCCACTCAACCACCTCTTTACAGAGCCTGTCTCCACATCCAGTCACATTACATTCCGGGGTGTTGGGAGTTTGAGCTTCAACATATGAATTCTGGGGGACACCATTCAAGCCATAACAAAGTCTACAAGGGAATGGAGATTTAGGAAGTGGGACGACTTGCCCTGGTTAGGCTGGATGCAGAATCGAGCGGGTCAGAGCTGGATGCAGGGTCAGAGCTGGATGCAGAATCGAGCGGGTCAGTTCCTACAGCTGACCACCGAGCTTCCCACCATCACACAGCCCTGCACCCAGAAGACCGGAGATGCACAGAAAAGGCCTTTTGGAGAATTAAAAACAAAACAGAACAAAACGCTGACCAGAATAAAGGAGTAATATTACCATGCTTTTCAGAACTATGAGCAGAATATTCCAGAACCCCCACGGTGGATATACTTGCATAGGCTCCCTTTGTAAATCTGAGCTTTAAGCAGATTCTGGATTTTAGCCAAAATGGCCGGAAAGGTAAACCATGTTGCGTCAGCTGAATCCTCTCTCCCTGCGTCCCTTTCTGGAGAACCAGGCTCTAGGCTGAGGAGGGCGACACCTGCTGGCTGAAAAGGCGCTGGGTGGGAACCGGCTCCTTTCACGTGTGGTCCCCGCCTGCCCTCTGCTGGCCGGCAGTCAGAACACTCCGGAATCAGCCCACAGCCCTCCTTCCCAGGGAAACCAGATCTCCAGGGGAAGAAGGGTAGCATCCACCGGAAACAGCTGCGCAGTGTGCCAGGCCCACCCTCTCTTGGTGGTACAGGCGACTTACACCTTTTGTGTTCTGTGACTGCAGAGCTGTTTCGAAACTTGCCTCAGCTGTTTTCACATGAACATTTTAAACACTTGCTATATCTGCTACCTTTTTGTTTCCCAAGATCTAAGAATAGGAGAATTTGAATGCAAGTCTGGATGATTTAGCAGCACATTGGTCTGCTCATCAGTTCGTGTTGTCAAAATTATAAACTTATGCTCAGAAAGACCTCCATCATTTTGAAACCATGGTTTCCTAGGTTATATAGCCAGGGACCCCACCATTTGGTTACAGCAGTGGTGGGCAAACGCTTTAGTCAACAGAGCCAAATATCAACAGTACAGCAATTGAAATTTCTTTTGAGAGCCAACTTTTTTAAACTTAAACTTCTTCTAATTGCCCCTTTTTCAAAATAGACTCGCCCAGGCCGTGGTATTTTGTGGAAGAGCCTCACTCAAGGGGCCAAAGAGCCGTGTGTGGCTCGAGAGCCGCAGTTTGCCGACCACGGGGTTACAGTATTTCTTTTCCGATGTGACTTTTCTTTTTTTAAAAGCCCTGGTTTTATGGTTCATGCTTATAGGAATGCCACCGTTATATATTTAGGGGAAATGTTCTAAGTAATAAAGGGTCCCCTTGAACTGAGCAGCAGCACATAAACGCCAGGAGAAACCACTGAACTCACCAACAACTCCTAGAACTCCCAGCCGATGTGCTGCCCAGGGCGTGTGGCCTCGGAATCTCAGTGAGATTCAAAATGAGAGGCTGGAGGGCCCTCCATGAGCCCCACACCCTCTTCTTGCAGATGCCAGCATGGGAACCTACAGTGCAAATCGGATCACGATGCCAGGAGAGGCCAGATGCCTCACCTTAGACTTTACAATAAAACACGAATTCCTTACCAGCGGTCCAAGGCCAGGGGATCTGGTCCTGCGGCCCCTCCACGCCTGCACTTGGCACCCTTTCCTTCCCAGTCAGTGTTTGCATCCTTATCCTTCTGGATCTCTCTGTGGCTCTACTTCAGTACTCTGTTTATTTCCTCTGGGGCACTCGCTCTAATTTATAACAACTTGTTTATTCATCTCACTGTTCATTTCCTGTCTCCACCATTAGGCATCATCCACCCGGTGGGCCTGGTCCATCCTGCTCTGCCACATTCCCAAAGCCTAAGGAGCATGTATCGATCACTGAATGAGGGAGTGAATGACGGGAGCAAAGGAAGGTGCTGAGAGGTGCGTGGCACCCAAGTCATTCCACGCAGGTCGCCGTACCGAGTTCCTTCATAAATACAAGGTGGTCCCGACCTTGACCCACGGCGTGGGAAGCAAGGAGAGGCCAGTGGCTGGGATCAAGGAGGCAGACAGACCTGCCCTTCCACCTCGGACTGACACCTGTCTTCGAAACCTCTCTTTCTCTACTGGGGGACCACCAGTGAGACAGACAGAACCCCGAGGAGAGCTGGCGGGAAACACACGCAGGCCAACGCAACAGACGCACTTGTTTAATCGGCGGCTAGGCACTCATTCAGGATGCGGACACCGGCTATAAACCAGCAGCAACACGGAGCGCTGATCCGATGCCTTCTCCTTGGAAGGGCACTGCACCGTCCACGGGAGGCCTCGTCACAGTCCCACCTCACAAACGGAAACAATGGCGCTGTGGCTGGCGGGCTGGAGGACCAGGGCTGGGCCCGGCTTCCAGGGGCTCTGACTCCATCCTCCCCGTCAGACAGTCAGCATCCGAGCAAGGGAAACAGACTCAGAACGGTCATCAGTTTGCAATGAGCGGCTCGGGGCAGCTTGATGAGGGCTGTCCCCAAGAGAGGTAGCTAGCTAGCTGGCGGTGGCGAGGGCAGGAATGCTTGCGTGGCCCAGGGAGGCCTGGTCAGGCCTCTGATGTGCTAGTGGTCAATGTGATTTCCATGGCCGCCTGGTGCCTTTCTCCTGGGCAGGAATCCGGCACCTGACTGGACCCATCCACAGAGACCAGGCCGGAGTGGAAGGCCAGGAGCCCGCCGGGGTCCTTCAGGAAGAGGCCCAGCCTCTGGGCCACGGCGTCCAGCTCGGCGGCGGTGGCGTGCTCCAGGAGGTTGCCGCTGCGCACGAAGAAGTGCTTCAGGAAGCGCTGGCGCACGCACTTGTGCAGCTTCCTGGCCAGGCGCAGGAGCCCTTTGCTGAAGACCCGCCAGTCCTTGGCGTAGGGGTACTTCTCGCACGTCCAGAAGAGCACGGTCTGCGGAGAGAGAAGGGGGTCAGGCATGTGGGCCCCGAGGAGCATATCCTCAGAAACACTGAGCGAGCTCACTTCGCCCTGGAGGAGGCGGGAAAGTCCCCCCTGGGCCAGCTGGCTCTGCCCTGAATTCCGGATCCCCGACCTCAGCCTTGTCCGTCTCCTGCGCCTCTCGGTTCCTTCCTCTGCTCCCCACTGACACGTCCAGTAATCACAACTCTCCCCACCCCTCTGCCTCTGCCTTACAGGGAAAACGGAAACCCTCATGCCCAGCATCAGCGTCCTCCTCGCTGCGCCTCTGCTCCTCCCAGCGAGCCGAATCCCTCTCCTTCCAGAAACTGTATGTGCTGGATCTCCCGCCATCTCTTCTTTGTCTTCACTTCCTCTGCACTGACTCCCTGCCTCAGTCCCTGCAGCGGACTCTCCCACTGTCAGTCCCCACAAGCTGCTCTCCTCAAGGGCCAGTGATCTGCACACGGCTGAACCCCGTTTCCAGCCCTCGCTCCACCCGGCCAGCCGGCAGAATCTCCCCTTCATGACCTCCTCTGGGGTTACTCTTCACGTGGCTTCCAAGCCACCACACCCTGGGCTTTCTCCCAGCACCACAGCTACTCCTCGGCAGGCTTCTCCTCCCGAAGCATGGCGTTCCTCTGCCCAGGCCACCTGCTCTACCTTCCTCCCACAACAGCGGCTTTCCTCCCACGAGACATAGGTGACTCTCAATTCCCTTTCTCCAGCCCAGACTGCTCCACTGACCTCTTTATCTGGTGTTTCTTAAAAATCTGAAAGTCATCTTCCAACATGTCCCAGCCTTCCCTCACCACCTGGTCTGCCTCCAGAGCTGCTCATCCAGCCAGTCATGCAAGTCACTGACCTGGTTCACCCCCTCCCTCGCCAATCCCAGGCAAGTCCTGCCCATTCTGCTGCCGATGTAGGTCTCAGATCCACCCACGTGTCTCCTCCGCGGCGTCGCTGTCCCCTTCACCACACCGCGCCCGGACCTGCACAACAGCCCTCCGGCCTGTCGCCAAGCACACGGAGCCAACGTGGTCTCTCTGAGATGGAAGTCTGTCTGAAGGACCTCCACGTCTCCTCGTGGCTTTAGTTAGAAACATAAACCTCATGGTCTGGCTCACAAGGTTCGGTCCAACCTGCCTTTCCAGCCTCGTCCAGCACGGACGGACTCCTGGGCTTCTCCTTCTAGCCACACTGCCCTCCTTTTTTTTAAAAAAAATATATTTTTATTGATTTCAGAGAGGGAGGAGAGGGAGCAAGATAGAAACATCAATGATGACGAGAATCATTGATTGGCTGCCGCCTGCATGCCCCTCCCGCCCCCCACTGGGGATCAAGCCCGAAATCCGGGCATGTGCCCTGACCGGGAATCGAACCCTGACCTCCTGGTTCACAGGGGGACGCTCAGCCACTGAGCCAAGCCGACTGGGCAACACTGGCCTCATTTCATGCTCTCTTCTCCCTCGGGGCCTTTCACAACCTACTTTCTACTTCCACTTGGAACACACTGCCACCCCTTTTCCCAGGAAACTCATTCATCACATCTCATTGCCCCTTGACACGCATTCAACGCCCTCCTTGTCATTACTTCTCATAAGCAGCCATGAGCCCAGCGGTCCTCATGTTCCTACGTACTCTGGGTTCCCTACTAGGAGGTGACTTCCCCGAGACAGAGGACTGTACCTGCTTTTAGTCACTGCTGTGTCACCAGCCCCCCGACTGGCACCCGACTAAGTGTGCCAGTCAGGTGCCAGTCAGGGGGCACAGGAAGTGCTGACTGAGCGAAATAGAGAATGAACCCAATGTGATGGTTTGGACATTGGGTAGGTTTAAAAATACAGTCTTGACTAAAAAGTGAAAGAACAGTTTTTAGGGTCACGGCAAGATACTGACTACGTCCTGACTGAAATGGTTTGGAGTGAAGCGCTGGGGGTCATCTCCTGCTGGTCACGATAACCTGGACACGGAAGACGGGGGCGTGTTCCTCTCCTGTAGCTAGCCCGTCATCTCCCAGGCACACTGAAGCCGGTCAGCGCATGCTCATCGAGGCCCTGTGTCCCTGAGTGGGTTTTAGGACTAAACAAGCCAGTGGAAGGTAAGCTCTGGCTTCTCCCTTTCGGGGAGAGCTTCTTGAGGGCGGAGGGGAGGGCCCTATAAGACAGGGCCAGGCTTCAGTTGAGGTGAGCCTGACGGCTCTTTTGCAACCCAATCTCTTCCACGTTCCCCAGATGGACGCCCGCGATGGTCTTGCCCGCTCAGGCCCTCCTCGGGGACAACCCCACCCGCCACCAGCCGCGGCCATGGCACTGCCCGCTGCCCAGGGGGGCAGACTGGAGGAAAAGGCAGCTCTGCTTCTGCTCATCCCACCGTCCAATACCCGACTCCCTTCTAAACGCCCCCTCCTGAGCGTATACAGTCTTGCTCTGCTCTGGGGGTGGGCAGGGAGGACCGAAGCGGAAACCTTGAGGGAGTTGCCCTAAGACTCTATGATTAGAAGCCTCTGGGATGAAAATGATCCGTGGGTGGATGCAGTTTTGAGAGCAGTCACAGCCAGGAGGCCCACGGCACCCTCGTCCATCTTGCCTTAAATATTTAGGCCCTTAAAGTGTCTCTATCCATCTTCCTTGTGGAGCAAGGCCCCTGGGGTTAAGATTATGAGGTTTTGCTCTGAGACGGACTCGAGTTTGCTTCTCAGCTCTGCCTCTTCCCGGTATAGAACAACAAGCAAGAGAGAAGGTAAGGCCACAGAATGACTATCCTGTCTTCAGACCCGGTGTGCCTCACCCCCCAGCACAGGTGTGTGCTTTCAAGGACATGTGCCTGAGAACATGTTAAGAATGTAGACACTTGGGGGAAAGGTCCCAGATATGAAGAGACTCTCGGAGGAGGGCAGATTATCAGAAGAGATAAGAAGGCGGAGCCAAGGCCAGTGATTTTGTGAGGGGCGTGGGGAAGCCGAACCAACTGTAGAGTCACTCATGCGCTCAGCCAACCAGTATTTACCAAGCAACCAGTAGGTGCACAGCACTGGGCGAGACAGGGGCTCAGGCGTGAGTGAAACCAGCCTGGTGTCGCTGTCCATTGAAGGAGAGGAGGCAGAGGTAGGAGGAGGCAGAGGTAGGAGGAGGCAGAGGTAGGAGGAGGCACAGGTAGGAGCGGGCGAGGAAGGTACCACATAGACGGGGACTACGCCAGTGACCCATGCTCCCCTGTGTAGGGCCCGGGGAGAAGCCTGCAGCTCCCAATGTACTAGCTGAGCTGGGGCTGTGCTGTCCGTCAGAGTCTGACACCTAGTGAGCTGCGCACGGTGCCACCTGAGTGTCCAGCTCACCGTGTACCATCGGACATTTGAGAAGGAGGAGTGGGAGAGGGTCATCAAAGGCCACTCTCCCGGAGGGGCGCCCTGGTTCCCGGAGCAACATTCTTCTTCTCCCCGGTGCTCCCTGCACCATGTGATTCCATTTGCAAAGCTGCCTGATCCACACCCCTCTCCCCTGCCAGCCCGGGAGCCCCCCCTGAGAGCAGCAGCCATGTCTGTGTGTGTTCCCCGGGGCCCTCCAGGGATGGGGGCAGGGGTCCGGCTTGTAGTCACCTCATTGCACCTTTGCTGAGTGAGTGAGTGAGTGAGGGCGGTCCTAAAGGTGCAATGTTGGGTTTGGGCCAAGGGGAGGCAGGTGCTGGCAGTGACGGGAAACCACGCCCATGCTAGGACCCGGACGTTACGGTCCTGGTCTAACCTGATCCTTTCCTGGTTTCCTCCGTGGAGCGTGTGTGCATGAGTGGCTGCACCTGGTCTGGGTGGGGGCTGAGTCAGAACACGAGGAATTCTGAGGTTTGAGCAGCTCGCACGGTTTCCCCAGACGGGAGACTCCTCATGGGCAGAGGCCAAGTGTTGCAAGTCATTCCTAACGCCCAGCGGGGCTTCTGACGCAGTGGGCACCCATGTTTGTAAAGTGAAATAAAAGGAAAGAGAAAGAGTCCAAGGGAAAAAGGAAGGAGAGGCACAAAGAAAAGGGAGGAAGAGGGAGGGGGAAAGAGAGGGAAGACACGGTATCCCGGCTAGGGGAGTTGTGGGTACACGTACAGCTGGTTTCTCACGCTCCATGAGTGACCGTTTGTGGTTGGCAAATGAGGACAGTGGAAGCCCATCCTGAATGCATCACTCACACACACACACACACACAGGCCGGTTCCATGTGGCCAGGCCAGGCCCTACCGGAAGCAGAGGGGACCCACCCCGGTCCCGTCGCGGTCGCCCCGGCCGCACACTCACCTGCAGGTGGTGGGACGTGATGACAGGCCTCCGGCCCGGACACCACACGTCCTCCTTCAGCTGCCGCAGGGCCTGGAGGCACCGCCGGCGGCAGCCCCCGTCCTCGTCCAGCTGCTCCAGCAGCACCCGCTCGGCCTGCAGGAAGCTCAGCTGCCAGTGATAATGCCAACGCCAACGGGCCAACAAGGAGAATCCAAACGACTGGAGGGAGAGGGAGGCGGCGGGAACGTGAGAAGGATGGCGCTGGTCGGGGGAGAGAGCCATCTCCGAAGCATCCACTAGCCCGGGGGCCAGACCAGGGGGGCAGGCGGCGCACCCCACGTGGACACAGCGGGAGCCCCGGGCCCGCCCCTCGCACGTGGGCCGTTAATGGCTGCGTTCTCTTCCTCTGGGGAAGGTTCTGACTGGAACCTGCACCACAATCACCTGCTCCTGGCGGGCTTGTCAAAACCCAGAGGGCGGGGCCTGCCCACCCAGCCTCGTCCAGGAGATCAGAGGGGGCGTGGGAATCCTCACATCTACCTGGTCCTCAGGTGCCACTCCCAGGCGTGGGCCCCCCCTCGAGAACCGTGGGTCTGGGGAACCTGTTTTCGTTGGGAGGCTGGGGGGCAGGCCGCCGGCCAGGGGCCCCGCTCACCGGTACCTTGATGCACTTCGCCCGCTCCGAGGAGGGCCAGCGAGACAGACACCGAGGCCACGGGGCTCTCTTGGACCAGGCGGTGGGGATCTCCACTTCGGGGGCCAGCTCTATCTCCACCTGCCCTGCGGAGGTTTCCATGGCAACGTGGACTGCAATGCCGGGGGTTAGCATGCTGACCTTTCCTGGTGGGAGATGACGAGCAGGCTCAGTACAAAGCATTCAAAGAGGGAATCTGGGAGCAGCGACTCTCGCCAGCGCCCGCAGCCTCGGGGGGCCATTTTCAGAGTGTCCATAGCACACCCAGGGGGGGCTCGGTTTATATCAAAACTAGACAATTAGCCGAGTCAATATGGACAGAAGCTTTGCTAGAGAAATCTCAGGGTTGGTGGGTTTTTCCTGTATGTTCCTCCTCCCTCCCCCGGAGGCTGTTCTGGCACCTTTTCTTTGAAATTAATAGATTCTTTTCAGGAGCCTCGACAGAAAGAGACGATGAAGACAAACAAAAGGTAGAGTATTTGCTGCTGTGAGATGAAATCCCACCATTCTTCTATAATACATCCCCCTCGTTCCCCGCAGAAGATGACCTTGTCTGAGACAGCCTCGGCCCCTGGCTTATTCATCGGCCTGCGGTGGCGTTCGGTTTAACCGTCTCTTGTCCGAGTCCCAGGCTCTTCGGTGGTATCTGTTCTCACCATCATCACGCCAGCCCCACCCCCGGCTGCATTACCATCCGAAGCCCTCGCAACCATAACCTGCTTTCCATCACTGGCTTCAAGAGTCCGGTGGGCTGCCCAGCTGTTGTGGCTCAGTGGTTGAGCATCAACCTCTGAACCAGGAGGTCACAGTTCGATTCCCGGTCAGGGCACATGCTCCGGTGGCCGGCTCCATCCCCAGTGTGGGCGTGCAGGAGGCAGCCGATCAATGATTCTCTCATCGTTGATGTTTTTTTCTCTCTTTCCCTTCCTCTCTGAAATCAATAAAAAATATTTATATATTTTTTAAATAGTGAGCAGAAGGAAGCCTGCACGTTGTTATTTCCAACCAGGTGGAGAGAGGGAGAGAAACACACCCAGTCAAGTTTTCCAGCGCAGAGGCTAGAATCCATTTCTGATCTGTAGTCCCTACTTCTTTCAAAGGATGCAGGTTGTTTCTTTAAAACATTTTTTATTAATTTCAGAGAGGAAGGGAGAGGGAGAAAGAGAAACAGTGACATCAATGATGAAAGAGAATCACTGCATGCCTCCTGCACACCTTACACAGGGAATGGAGCCCAAAACCCGGGCATGTGCTCTGACCGGGAATTGAACCCTGACCTCCTGGTTCATAGGTTGGTGCTCAGCCACGGAGCCACGCTGGCTGGATGCAGGCTTTTTGTCTGCCTTCATGAGACAAGGCAGAGCCCCGTGGGTGGGGCGCTGGAACTTTGCTCCTTGCCCTAGAAGAGACAAAAGCTCGCTCACAGCCCTGTCAGCTGGGATGGGAGGAAGAGCCCATTGTCTCCTCTCAGAGCTGCCACTTCAGCATGACTTACTGACGGCTTCTCCTCAACCCACCGGGTGTGCCTCTCTCATACCCACTCTCCCTGCCAGACCCTCCTGCCTGGCCCATGCCGACTCTGCTCACCCACATGGTACTTCATCTCTCTACATCTCTCTCTCTCTTTTTTTTCCCCTTTAATCTGTAAACAGGTAGAAAAAATAATTCTTACTCTCTAGGGATGCTATGCATATTAAATTAAATAATCCTCAGGAACATTCTCTCCATGGTCACAGTCCATGAAACAGGGGCTATTTCCATCATGGAACCTTCCAGAATCCTTCTGTCTAGACAAGGAAATGTGCACGGACACCCATTCCTTTCTGTGCAGACGGAACAGGTATGGCTCAGCTCTCTGGCTCTTCACTTACTTGTCCGGTGCGGGCAGTTTTCACCCCTGTGTGCGTGCACAGGCACCTTCTCCTTTCTGAAGGCTGCACGGGAGTCCCCGAGGCCGAGGCAACAGCATTTACTGGCTCAGTGTTGCTTTTTCGGACCCTTTCTAGATCCTCACTGCTACACAGCCTATGCCCATGGGGATCCTTGTACACATTTCTTTTCTTTTTTTAAAAAAATATATATATTTTATTGTTTTTTTACAGAAAGGAAGGGAGAGGGATAGAGAGCTAGAAACAATGCTGAGAGGGAAACATTGATCAGCCGCTCCCTGCACACCTCTCACTGGGGATGTGCCTGCAACCAAGGTGCATGCCCTTGACCGGAATCAAACCCGGGACCTCCCAGTCCACAGGCCGACGCTCTATCCACTGAGTCAGGCTTATACATATGTCTTTGTGTATCTGTTTACAACTGGAATTACTGAATGGCCAAGTAACCAGGTCACAAGTTACCCTTTAAAAAAGTGGACCCCCACTCCTCTTGATCCTCTCACCTGACAGGTGACAGGTTTCGATGGCGTTTTCCACCAGTTTCCGGAAGACCTGGAGCACCTTGGCGGGCACGATGTCCCCCTCGATGCTCACATCCGTCTCGTGCCACTGCCACAGGTTCTTCACGAACTGCCGCACCTCCAGCCACTGCAGCAGGCCCTCGGGGCTCCGCAGCGGGCAGTGGAGCCGGGCGCCCTGCAGCGTGTAGTACCGCCAGCGCTGCTCCCTGGCCTCCCGGTACCCGGCCAGGCCTCTCACTGGGACTGTGATGAGGAACTGACTGGGGCCCAACACCTGGGGTCCAGAGAGAGAGAGAAAGAGAGCGAGCGTGAGTTCACAGACTGGGACGTCACGGCGTCCCATGGAGCCACCTGCTGAGCCGGGCATCAGCCCTCAGCCACGTGAGGAGGTGGACGGGAACTGCACCTGCCTGTTGCGAGAGGGCCCGTCCTGTCCTGCCACTGACCCCCTGGGATGCCTCGAGCAGCACATGAAGCAGCACATGAAGTCGCCGAACCCCGGGCTTCGCGAGTCTGCCAGGAAGAGGCATGAAGGAAACCTGGGCCTTGCAGGGCCCCTCGTGTTTACGGGGAGGCGTTTTCTCCCAGAAGGAAACTTCCCAGGATGTACGGCAGATCTAGGAAAAGCAATGTTATGCTTCTATTCCTAGTCACGGGTCTGCTTTTGTCTAATTCGGGAGGCAGTGGAAGTGGGTGGGAGAGGGAGGCAGAGATGTGCTGACATTCCAGGATCTAACCTAGATTTATCACTTGCATCCTGGGGTAAATTTCCCAAGATCTTATTGTTTTAAAACGCAACGAGTCCCTGAATCTTATGGGTGGTCCCTACGCCCACTGACCTCGAACTGTATTACACCAGTACACCATGTGCTCAGATACTAATTCTCCTGCTCATTCATTCATTCATTCAGCAGAAGTTGTCTACCGCAGGCTGCACCCTACTGGGTGCTGGGAACGGAGCCATCAACACACATGATCCCTACAAACGAGGGACTGACTCTGGTGTGAGCGAGGGACATGAATCCAGATGAAAGGCAGATAACTTTAATACAAATGAAAGACAGATAACTTTAATACAAATGAAAGGGGTTCTTGTGTGTCATTAAAAAAAAATCCAGATCAAGCGGCACAGAGATCCAAAATAATCCAGAGCCTCACTTCACCTGTCCCTGAGAGGGAGAGAACCTCGTGTCTGTTCTGTGAGACTGTCTGCAGGTGAGATCCTTCTGTGAATACGGCTTCGCCCACTCACAGAGGTGCATGAACTTGGGCTGGTACCCTGGCGGCTTACAGCTCTGGGGGCTCCCTCCTCGGCAGGGACAGGGGTTCCGAGGCGGCCCCTGCAGTGTCTGAAGGCCACCTCCCACTGTCTTCCCTCCCCCACCTGCAACCCACACAATACTTTCTACTATTTTCTGGACAATTCCCTCTGCCCAGCCCCAATCTACTGTCACTGTGAGAGAGGCACAGCCCTGGCTCAGGGCTCTAGGGTGCATTCTGGCTTCCACACCCCATGGGACGGACCGCACCCTGTCACTTCCCTGTCTCAGTCTCCATCAGCTGGAAATTGGAGCATGATTGCTCGCATGCGTGTGTAAGTGGTAAAGACTCAGTCGCCGAGGAAACAGGCGGTACTGTTAGTATTCTCAGGGGTGCCGGCACCTGTCACCTGCGATCCGCGGGAGCCCCGGGAGTTGGGGTGGGGTGGGAGGCGTCCGGAGGCGAGGTAGGCCGCTCACCGTGATGTTCCCGTTGTACATCGGGGAGTACGGGATGGCCTGGAAGCGGATGTCCTGGTTGCTGATTTCTGTGGTCAGGTGGTAGATGACCTTCTGCACCTCCTCCACTATCTGGGAGACCCGCTGGCGCCTACAGTCCACCTGGTGGGCAGGAAGCAGCACAGAGGTTATTCCCGGGGCTGCCCCGGGCACGGGCATAAGGAAGGGACGGGACAGGACGCAGTGGAGTGACCACAGGAGCAGGGCTCCCTGGAGAGGTGACTTCAGGTCCGATGGCACCTGTCAGTGCCTCCGAGTTCAGTTCTGAAACAGGAGCATCCATTCGTCTGGATGGTGTGGCTCATAGCTCAGTGGTTGAGCATCAACCAATGAACCAGGAGGTCACAGTTTGATTCCTGATCAGGGCACATGCCCGGGTTTCGGGCTCAATCCCCAGTACGAGGGTTTGCAGGAGGCAGCTGATCAATAATTCTCTCTCATCACTGATGTTTCTCTCTCTCTCTCCCTCTTGCTTCCTCTCTGAAATCAATTTTTAAAAATCTTTAAAAAAATAAAAGCATACATTCAAGTGTGAGTTCACAGACGGGGGATCATGGGCATCCTCTGCCATGTGGTTGGTGCCCACTTTTAATACTGGCACACAATGAACAAGACAACAGCGAATAAGATAGGGATACTTGTCCTCCAGCTGACAACACAGGACCTAGGTATATATGTACACATATAGACATGTGTGTATATATACACACAGGTGAGGCAAAAGTAGGTTTACAGTTGTTCATATGGAAAAATAATACAATAATTAACAAATAATAATAATAATAATACAAGGATAAACTCTGTTTCGCATGCTCACAACAATAAATCTACTTTTGGTTTATAGTTGTGAGCATGTGTGTATACATACTTCGTGTATGTGTACAATGTGTTTCTAGGTAGGGTAAGTCCCATGAAGAAAAATCACATGGGATGAGGAATTAAAGAATAAAAAGGCTACTATTTTGGAATCGGGTGGCCAGGGAAGTCACCTCTAAGGAGGTGATGTTCGAGTGGGCCCTGATGACAGCGAGGGAAAACAAATTCCAGGCCTCAGCGCAGGAGCACACCTGGCGAAGCCAAAGCCAGGGCCCCAGCAAGAGGCTGGGAAAAGAGGGCAGGGCCAGGCCGTCACGCAGGGGTTGGGAACTGTGGGGAGACTAGGACATAAGGGAGCGATAACGCCTGCTGCCTGGGTTGGTGACTGTGAAGCGGGTCAGCATGTGTGGAGATTAAACAGTTTAACGCCCAGTGCCTGTCCCCGCTACGTCCTTAAACCACGGCTCCCTTCTCCTCAGAACTCACCCCTCCTGGACCTGCTGACTCTGCACAGCACATCTCCCCAAACCCCCAGAAAACTGAACACCAAAATCTATGCCTTTAGAGACATGTAAGCTTTAGGGAAATGGATTTTCCTAAATCCATTTGTGGGAAACACAATGGAATTTTTAGTAATCTCTAGGAGAGACAGAAAAATCCAAATAATCTTTGGATGGGACATCTATAAGTTTTTTTGTTTTGTTTTTTTCTGAAATAGAGGCGTGGCTCTGTGGTTGAGTGTCAACCCATGAACCAGGAGGTCATGGTTTGAATCCCAGTCAAGGGCACATGCCCAGGTTGAGGGCTCTCTTCCCAGTAGGGAGTGAGCCAATTGATGTTTTCTGTCATCATTGATGTTTCTCTCTCTCTCCCTCTCCCTTCCTCTCTGAAATCAATTAAAAACATTTTTTTTTTTAAAGAGGGATTGGGAGACAAGCAAGTGGAGACAGAGGTAGCAACTCCCCCAGGAAGTTGGCTAGGGAAGGAAAACAAACAAACAAGGACTCCGACAGGTATTTCCAAATGCCACGCAGGTTCGAGCACGTTTAACTGCTGACGGAGAAGAGCCAGTGGAGGAGCAGGGGGTGGAGGGCAGAGCCACTGAGTAAGGACTTCCCAGCCAGGAAGAGCGGGGCAAGTGCGGGAACCTGGTGAGGAATCCTCAAGTGCCAGGAGGAAGGAGAGATGGGTGCACACACAGAGGAAGGGGCCAGGAATGCGGGGAATCCGACACTTCCTGTCTGGTGGCGGTTTTCTTTATGAGCAGGAGTCCAGGCAGTGGGCTGAGAGGGAGGAGGTGAGGCGGGAGGGAGGGACTGCGGGGTGATAGATTTTGGAAATAGCTTCTCCAAGGAAGGAGGGGCTGATGGGCACATGTGTGAGACGCAGGCAGTGACCAAGACAGTGGCGGGTGGGCCCACGTGGCTGTGAGATACCAGTGGGTCCCCCTGCAGGATGCTCTCAGCACCACGGTACCAGCTGAGGGGCTAAGCCTGGTGTTTGCTGGGCCAGATTTGCAGATGGACAAGAGAACACGGGAGGGTTTCAGCGGCGGGCTGCATGTCACACTCTGGCCAGAGAATGGACAAAGACGGGTTAGGGACATTGGATGACCAGAAGTCTGACCAGGAATAGCAGGGGAAAGGAACCCAAGACTGACGATAGAGCGCTGTGGTCAGAGTGGCGGGGAACCACACTCTCACAGTCAAGTTCTCAGAGTGCTGAGAGCACTGTGGCTAAGCCAGCCCTCCCATTGCCGTGGCCGTGGATGAGTGACGCAGCACTTGCTGGCATGCACGGTCAGTCACTCTCACTGAGCAGAGTTTATGCAAAAGCAGCCATGAGCGCGCCCGTCCATCCCTTAAGGGCGCCATCCATGGCCTCCCTCTCTCCAGGGCAGCTCTGCGTGCGCGTCCCCATCCCAGGCTACGTCCCTCCAAACCAGTGTCAGGCTCGTTGTTGTCCCACACGTCACTTGCTACTATTAATAGCTCAATTCTGTAGACAACTTTTCCCGTTTCAAATATAAATTATATGGACGTCAAGATGGCTCCCTGAATAACATTCTGACCCGCTGGCATTGCAACATGCTTCCTTAGAGAGAGGTACAGAGATGGCACTCAATGGCATGCCAGGAACAAGATGTCACACAGGCCTGGTCACACCCCCGAGCACGTGGCCCGTGTAGATGTCACCCTCAATCAGTGCCGCTGGGGAAAGCGCTGAGAACTTCCTTCCCGACGACAGGAAGTCAGACTTTTAATTCTGGAATTGCATTTAAATCTAGTAACCAGTTTGTTCGTTTCTAAATGCCGGCCAGTGTGGCTCAGTGGTTGGGCGTCGACCCAGGAACCAGTAGGTCCCGGTTCAATTCCTAGTTAGGGCACATGCCCCGGTTACGGGCTTGCCCTGGAGTACAGGGTTTCTCTCTCGTAGCAGACCCGTCCCAGACCTGTGTTTGGGGCGCGGTATTTTGCACAAAACGGGCGCCCAGGGTCTCTATGGAGAGGCGCACAGAGGGTTTTAGCAGAAGGAATATGGCTTCGGTAGAAAAAGAGGAGGCTGGAACCTCAGCATCCCCTCTGCCCGGCTGTGTGAGTTTGGACGAGTTACTTAACCCACACAAGCCTCCGTCCCCTCCCCTGCGAACACGGAGGCCAAGGGCGTGGATCATAGAGTTGGCCAGATGACATGAGATACTCTACGGGCCTCAACCTGCCAGCACCTTCACTCTATCCCTGCATTGTCTTCCATGGGCCCTGGAGACAACCCCGGCCACATATGTGCAGATACCGTGTGAATTTCAAGGGGAATGACAATATCCAAGACTCTTCTTCACCCCCGAAACTGAGCAACAATAAAACAATATACCAGTGAAGTTACCATCCCGGGATACGAACAAGAACAGCCTCAGGAGTCAATACCCAACCGATTGTCAAATAAACATGTTCACTAATAATGCGAGCGGGGTCCCCGGAAGGCGAACGGGTTTAGTGCTGCGGTGCTGGGGACCTTGCTGTTGAGAAAGTGGACTCAGCTGAGTTTGATGGGTGACTATGGGGCAGAAAAGTGGGGAGCAGAGAGGCTTTCTCCCCTGGGCAGGGGTGGGGGGGAGCTGGGGCCTGAGACCTTCTCAGAATAGTTCAGCCCCCTGCAGGGTGAGGAGGCGTGAGAAGGAGTGAGGAGGGGTGAGAAGGAGTGAAGAGGGGTGAGAAGGGGTGAGAAGGGAATAGAAGGTGAGGAAGGGGAAGGAGAGGTGGGAAAGGGGGAAAAGATGAGGAGGGGTGAGGAGGGGTGAGGAGGGGCGTGTGGGAGAGACGGGTACCCGTCCTCACCTTATCCAGCAGGCAGGCTTCGAAGCTGTCCGCGACCAGGGGTTGCATGGCTCCCTGCTGGGTCCCGAGCGGAGGCTCCATCCTGGCTGCTTGAGGGAGGACAGGCTGTGAGCGGCTCTCCCCACAGCGCCAGCCTCTCTGCCGGCGTCTCTGGGACGTGCACGTGGACCAGAGCCTGGCCTTCGCAATTCTTCACTTACGCTCCTATTTCCAAACAGGGAGCATCCATCTGCTATCTTTGGGAGGATTTAAAAAAATCGTTTAGAAAGGAGAGTTGATGAAATGGAATGGGGGCCCAACCTATTTGTATTCCACTTAGCGCTGTGCTTCGGCCGAAGGGCAGTGTTCCAATGTCTTTCCCATCCAGTGCGTGGGGCAGAATGCCCTGCACTTGGCGTCTCCACCCTTTCCTGCTCTTGTCCTAACAGGTGCCCCCCTGGGCTCAGTGTCTTATATCCCCTCGCCCTTCTCCTGTTGACAGTAAATAGCTCTAGCTCTCCACCCAGAAAACCCCGAGGATTGATTTCCTTCTTTACAATAAACAAAACAGGAAGCTGCCCAACAACCAGCCTGGCACCCATCACTGTGCCCACGAACAAGCAATCGGGTCTTGTCAACCAGATCAGGGCACAATCTGCATATAGAAAAGTTCACACACGTGCACACACACAGACATGCAGACGCACACGTACGCACACCCACCAATGGCAGGGCAGGGACCCTCTGCTCACCTGCTGACCTTTCACTAGAACCTCCCTCTTCCCACTTGAAAGCTGGCAGTAAAGCTTAAGTCAGTGTAAACAGGCCCCCGCAGAGGGCAGGAAGCGATCACGCCTGGCTTGGCCAGCAAAGCGTGCTGGGAAGCAGCTCAGGCGGTAAATGCCCTGCCTGACAGAAAACCCCCCACAATGGTCTGATCTGATCTCCCCAAAGCTGTAAACATTAGGTCTGCGAAGGAAGCAACTCGCCAGAGCCCCACTCAGCCCAGCGGTGTCCAAACCCACTGGTGTGCCTCCCAGTGCTCAGCAGAGCTGGCTGCCCCGCAACTCTGCCCTCCAGAGCCACAGAATTTGCATATCTCACCTCCTCTGCCTGGCTCTGCCCAGCTGCCCTGCCCAGCCCTGGGGCAGGAAAGCCACTGCAGAGCCCCGTGCTCCGCCCACATCGCAGGGTGCAGCCCAGCTGCTTCCCACAGGTCCCCCTGAGGGAATGGGGAAAGCCACCCTCAGCGCTGCCTTGAGTGTCCATCTCCTCCCATTTGTCGTCTGTCTCCTCCTGCCATCGAGCGCTCCGGGTATTCCTCAGCTCTCTTACCGCTGGCCAGAGGTCTCCCAACAGCAGACTGCCCAGAGCCTCCCGCTCAGGGCTCTGCCCCCACCTTAGCTGTAACTGGACCCAAGCCCTCCTGTGTCTCCCAGATGCTCTTGTTTTTGTCCTTATTTCTGCTCCATCCTGGTCACTAACTGGACTCTCTCCCCTGGCAGGGCCGTTCCTCTTGTTCTGCGGTCACCCAGATGCTCGCCCCCCAGATGGGCAAACTTCATTACTATGTGCCTGTGGCTTTCCTACCGTGATTGCTCCAGATTGCAGCCGATCACAGAGAATCTTCTCTGGCGCAGAGGCCAATGGCACTTGCCAGATGTGAGCAGGGAAAACCACCTACAGGGCCAGAGGAGGAGCCTGGGAGAGGAGAGAGAGGCAGGTGCTCAGGGTGGCTTACTCCCGTCAGGCCTGGATGTCAGACAAGAACACAGGGGTGTTGTATAAACATAGCCCAGTCCTTACTCCGTGACACGGTTCCTTACTGGCGAAGGTTCCAAACACCGCGCACGGGGCCTCTGACAAGTGGGAGAGACACACTTTCTTGGCAGATACCGATCTCTGGTTAATTGGATGTTGGGTCAGCAACTATGCATTGAGCAACAGTCTGCCTGAGGCACCACACTGGGCCACTGGGAGGGACTCAATGTTGACTCAGATCCCTCTCCTTCCTCGGGAAATATGGCTCCTCACTTCTCATGACTCACACGACTCAAGTAGGCACAGGTCAACCAGCTCAACTCAGCTTCTGCCATGAGGATCAAGGAGTTATATTTTCAAGGCAGTTTAATAAGGTGCTCACAACCCTGACCTGTTCAGATGCGCAGTCCTGGGCAGGCATGTGGCCTGGCCCACCCACAGGGGTGTCTGTTCCTGACTGACCTGGTGGCCCAGATATTTATTCCAAGAAGGTGAAGGGTTGGCTTGATCCAAATCAATCTTAAAGACACACGTTCGGCAAAGTGCACCAGGCTGCAAACGCTGACTTATCCTCTCCAAGTTTTGCTTGAATCCTGGGGTGACTCATCTGTGATAGTTCAGAGGCCCAGACAGAGATAAGGGTCCAGGCCAGAGGGAGCCCCCGGCCTTGAACAAGACAGGGACCCTGTGTGCTCCGTGCCCCCAGGGTAGCTGAGCACCTAACACGTGACTGACCCTCAGTGAACAGTGGTGAATATGTGGTTGCGTTACACATTGACGTGACATCCTTAAAGATGAAAAATTTTGAGATGCATGGAAGCACTTTATGAAGTAATACGCTGGGAACCTTTTCACGTTTTCTTTGAAAGGACGCTCTCGGGCATCTCCGAATTGCTAGCATCAGCACTCTTTTGCTCTGGGGCCATTATTATGGAAAATAAGGATCACCTGACCACAAGCACAGAGATACCCTGACAGTCCATCTGATAAGCAAGTCAGCTATTAAGTGACTGACCGGTGGTCTCGGACACCACACGGACACTGGAGAGAAGGACGGGGAATGGCTTCCCCAGACAGGACATCCCAGGCAGCCCAGCGCGGGATGGCGCCAGATTTCATCACGCTCCTCAGAACAGCGCTCAATTTAAAACTTATATCCTACTCATCTCTGGAACTTTCCGTTTACTAGTTTCAGACAGAGGTTAACCACAGGTCATGGAAACCGCTGAGAGTGAAACCTCGGATAAGGAGGGAATCGCGCATTTGAGGCAAACTCTCAGTCATTATTGTCGCAAATATCTCTTCTGTGCCTTTCTCTGTTTCTTCTCCTTCTGGTCTTCTCACTATGTGTGTTACACCTTGTGTAGTTGCCCCATAGTCCTTAGATATTTTGTTCCGTGTCTTACAAGCTTGATTCTCTCTGCTTTTCGGTTCTCTTTGCTTTTGGGTTCTAAAGGGTGTCTGCGGAGATGGCCCCTGGCTCAGAGATTCTTTTCTTGGAATCTACTAAGAAGCCCAGGCATTCCTCGTCGCTCCTTCTACCTCCAGCGTGTGTCTCCAACAGTTTGTCTTGGATCTCTCCTAGGACTGCCATCTCCCTGCTCATGTGGCCCATCTGTTCTTGCGTGTGTCTACTTCACCCACTATGGCTCTCAGCATTTAATCATTCTGTATCTGATAACCCCAACATCCTGCCACGTCTGATACAAATTGTGATTTACTGCCTTTAACAGGCCTGGGAGTTTCTCTCCGATAGTTGAACATAATGCACGGGGTGAAAGGATTGCTGTCAACAGGCCTGTGGTAATGGGGTGTGCGCTACAGAAGAGGGGAAGCGTTCTCTAGTCCCAGGATGAAGTCTCTCTGTGAGCCTCACTACTGTTGCTTGGGTTTTCCTATCCTCCCTCCTAAAAAGGGATGGCAGGGCCGGATGGGGCCGCAGCTGTCTGCTTTCCTCTCCCCCGTGGAAGGCTGGACCGAATGAGAGGTGGGTAGTTCCCTTCCTCCAGGTCAGTTGGGCTCTGATAACACCCAGCAAGGGGCTCCAGTTAACTAGTTTTGCCAACATGATTCTGCATAAGAAGAAGAGAGCCAATCTTATAACACAGACATTTGAAAGTTGGAAATTATTATTAGCCCAACCGTGAGGTAATATATCTGTGTTAGTTTTCTTTATTAAGACGTATCACACTGAGACAGGAAAGATACAAGCAGAAAAAGAAACAAAAATAGATGTAGGTCAGAGGCAGTAAGAGAACATTCATAAATCATTTCGCGGTATACGTCTATATTTTCAAGGTAGCTACACAACTTCAAGGGCAAGCATTTAACAGAAATATCTGAAAGTACACTGGGAGCCCTAGTGGCATGGCTCATTGGTTGAGCATTAACCTATGAACCAGGAGGTCACAGTTCAATTCCCAGTCATGGCACATGCCCGGGTTACGGGTTCGATCCCCAGTGTGGGGCAGCCAATCAATGATTCTCTCTCATTACTGATGTTTCTATTTCCCTCTCCCTCTCCCTTCCTCTTGGAAATCAATAAAAAATATATTTTAAAAAATTAAAGAAAAAACGGGGTACAAATGCCTCATGAGTGGGGACAGCGAGAAAAGTGACCAACTGACACCAAACTTGATGACACCTTGATCTTGAACTTCTAACCTCATTAAAAATGTTCATTGTTTAAGCCACCCAGGGCGTGGTATTTTGTCATGCATGGCCGCTCTAGCCGACTAAGACACTTCTATTGACGAACTCCCTTGGGCATCCCAGGCCTGGACAGAGAGACATCTAGACAGACAGACATCTCAGTGGCACCACCCTCTGTTGCATCCCCTGCTACCAGTCAACCAATTGCCCCAGAAGGGACAGTAACTCTCAGAGGGCGTCTTCTGAAGGCTCATTTTCCTGTTTTTCTGGGACACATTTCTGCTACTCTTCCTTCCTGCACCGGAAGTTGGGCCTGCTTCTTTATCTCTCTTTTACTCGCGAGTTTCAATGCTAGAACCATAGAACGCGCACTGACACCGGCCCCCCAGCCCTGCCTCCCTGTTTTCCTTCAGAAGGCCTACCAGGAGCTTTTCACGTGAGCTCCCTGGTGATCAGTCTTGGGATGGAGAGTTCTTGGCTCAGGCATCCAAACTAGGACTCTACAACAGGAAGGTGTTCGGAGCTCTCCCTCCGGGAAACTGAGAAGCCCACGAAGGCTGCCTGGGACAGCCCCTGGCCTTCCCCCGAGAGAGGGAAACCCGCTCAAAGGCACGCTAGAGGCGGCACGCGGGACGCGCAGGCCCCCCCTCCCTGTC